AAAGTTAATTGAGCCTGAAAAAAAACAATCAATATGACCAAAAACAAACTATAAATATAATTCAATTTCTGATCCAGATCCTGGCATCATTCTTTAAAAGATGGAAAGAGTAATCACCAACTTTACATGGAAAGGAAAGGTCCAGATTACACAAAGAACTACTAAAGAAGTGGGAGACTTTTCCCTCCCAATCTCAAAACTGTCTGTAGAGCCACAGTAGTTAAAACAGCCTGGTACTGCCACAAGAGATACCGAGACCAATGAAAGAGAATACGCAACCCAACAATCAATCCATGCACTACCGACAACCTATGGAATGGGGAAGAGATAGTCTTTTCAACAAACGGTGCTGCAAACTTAGATTTCCACTTGTAGTAGAGTAATGAAGTAGGGCCCATACCTCACTCTACATACAAAAAACTTAAGATGGATTTAAGACCTAAATGTAAATCCAAGAACTATGAAGATCATCAATAACAAAATATGGACAGAAAGAAAAAAAAACTGACAAACTTACATGCCCTAATACATGGCATAAGCACACTACCAAACAACAACAACACACGCAAACACACCAGAAAAATAAATGCTGACAAAGGAGCAGAGAGCTTGAAATCCTCACACACTGCTAATAGGACAGTACAACAATGTTAACACTGTGAGAAGTGCTAACTGTGAGAAGTGCTATGCCTCAAAAAGTCAAGCATAGAAATAGATGGCCCAGCAATTCTTCTACTTGGTATATGCCCTACAGAAATAAGAACCATAACATAAACAGATATATGCATGCCCATGTTCACACAGGACTATTCACAACAGCAACACGATAGAAACAACCTAAATGCCTGCTGGTGGAAGACAGGATATACAAATTTTGCCACATATACACAATGAAATATTACATAACTTTTTAAGAAAAACGAGGAATCTGTGAAACATTTCTAAACATGGAGGAAACTGGAGGACATTTTACAGACTTAAAGTAGTCAATACAAAGCAGCAAATATTGTATGAGGCCATTGTATTTAAAAAAAAAATCAAGGAAAATCTTTGACACAAAAACAGTTTGATGGTTACCGGACATGGGAGAGAAACTGAAAGAAGAGGAAGCAGTAGAGCAGAGGACCAACAGGTGTTAGCTAGCTTTGATGAAGGGAAAGTAACACCCAACAAAACAGTTTGAGGGAAAAAAATTTTTTTAATTATATAAACAGGATAAGCCATTAGGAGATTTGATAAGTTAAAAAAAAATTTATTAACGATAAACCCCTTAGGACCAATCATGAGAGTAGCGATACCAGGAGGGGAAGGGGAAGGTGGGGCGAGAAAGGGAGAACCGATCACAATGATCTACATATAACCCCCTCCCAGGGGGATGGACAACAGAAAAGTGGGTGAAGGGAGAAATCGGTCAGTGTAAGACATGAAAAAATAATAACAATTTATAAATTACCAAGGGTTCAGGAGGGAGGGTTGGGAAGGAAGGGGGGGAAATGAGGAGCTGACACTAGGGCTCAAGTAAAAAGAAAATGTTTTGAAAACGATGACAGCAACATATGTACAAATGTGCTTGGCACATTGGGGGTATATATGGATTGTGATAAGAGTTTTACGAGCCCCCAATATAAATAAATAGGAAAACGTGCTTGACACAATGGATGGGTGTATGGATTGTGGTAAGAGCTGTATGAGCCCCGCAATAAAATGATTTTTTAAAAATTATTATATAATCTGTATCTAAACCTTTACCTAATTCGCAATAAAAAGTTAAAAAGAAATAAAGAACGCTACAAATCCAAATCAGCCCTAAGTAGTGTATGAGACACCTAAAATCTTGGGCTAGCCCCTCTACTTTGATTTTTATGATCGTGTCCAGTGGTGGAAGAAATGAGACAAATAAAGGAATTTTCTAAAGGAAGATTAACATTTATTTCACCACTATTTTTAACATTTAAATTTTACATTGTAAATCAGTGCCACATTAGGATAAGATGTTCAATTCCAGTCTTCTCATTATGCATGGAGATTTTAATCAAAATTTTCCCTTTTAAATACACTAACTGAAAGAAACAAGCAATGATGCTCCAACCAAGGTAACATAATTGCTTTTAAAAATTTTAATATTTTGGAGGAGAAAGATGGCGGCATCCGTGGTAGCTGCTCCGGAATTGGGGCTTGCACTGGCCTGGGGGCCGCAGGCCCTCACCCCCGATTGGAAAAACCGAGAAGTCTCCACAGGGACCACTATCATGGCAGTGCAGTTTGACGGGGGCGTGGTTCTGGGCGCCGACTCCAGGATAACCACTGGGTCCTACATCACCAATCGAGTGACTGACAAGCTGACCCCAATTCATGATCGAATATTCTGCTGCCACTTCGGTTCAGCTGCTGATACCCAGGCTGTAGCTGATGCCGTCACTTACCAGCGAGGCTTCCACAGCATTGAGCTCAATGAGCCTCCACTGGTACACACTGCAGCCAGCCTCTTTAAGGAAATGTGTTAGCGATACGGGGAAGACCTGATGGCAGGAATCATCATCGCAGGCTGGGACCCCCAAGAAGGAGGGCAGGTGTACTCAGTGCCCATGGGGGGTATGATGGTGCGGCAGTCCTTTGTCATTGGAGGCTCCGGGAGCTCCTATATCTATGGCTATGTCGATGCTACCTACAGGGAGGGCATGACCAAGGAGGAGTGTCTGCACTTCACTGCCAATGCTCTCGCTCAGGCCATGGAGCGGGATGGCTCCAGTGGAGGGGTGATCCGCCTGGCAGCCATTGCAGAATCGGGGGTAGAGCGACAGGTTCTCTTGGGAGACCAAATCCCCAAATTGCCACCTTACCACCCCCGAAGCCTGCCATTGAGATATAAAAGACCCGTCCCCCACCTCGACGTGGAATTCAGTAAAATTTGACAAAAAATTTTAATATTTTAAACATTTATGTTCTTAAAATTTTCTAAACCAAAACACCTACATCATTACATAAAGTCCATTCATTATGTATGATAAGCTATCGTTATCTCTTTATTTCACTAAGTAATCTTTTTCATTTCACTTTTTTTAAAACAAACAGAAATTTGTTAACTAGTAAAACAATGAGAATGGTTAGCTATTAATCCAGGTAGAGTTCCTTTTTGTAAATCTTTACTTAAAAAGGTCA